GACCCTGGGTTCTTTATCCCAGGGTTTTTCGCCCAGTTGCCGGCCGATGGCAAGTCCAGCCGTCGTGGCAGCCCAGGGAAACGCCACGGCCGCCGAGGGACCTCCAGGAGTGAAGGTGGTGCACGCCAGTGGGCGCGACGTCAGGGGTGGGTGGACCCCTCAGTCGAAAATCCTGCCAGACAGCACTTGGCATTAATCCACGCCTCAACGTGCCAGGCGGCACGGTGGCGGATCCAATGCCCTCACCGTACGGTCGGGCCTAGGTATAAGATCGAGGTCGGTTCGGGGAGGGTGCCCTCATGTTCTACGTGATGGTTGGATGTTCTTGCACATCCTGGGGAGGGTACCCTTAGATGTTCTGTGTGTTCTGGCCGGCGGAGGGCCTCACGTTCTTGAAGGATGTCCGGCCTTAGTGGCGATCCCCCATGCCACTGCCCTGGGAGGACCCGCTGCGCCACCGGTGCCTCGCGGAGGCCATGCGGGGCCAGGGCGACGCCGGCGCGGCCGTGGCGGCGTGGGGCCCCGAACTGGGCCTGGAGGCGCCTCGGAGAAGGAAGGAAAAAAACACACAGCAGAAGCATACAGCCAAAACGCTGAAAGAAGTCAGAGGAGGAAAACGTACCCATACCCCTACCCTTCCCTCGTTTTCCCCTTTTGGGGCCTCCTGGGAGGCCCTCGTCGCCACCGCTGGATTCGCCTCGAAATCCGAGTCAGACCGCACCCCGGGGGAGGTCCGGGGAGTAGCGGAATGGGTAACTTGTGGTTTCCCCAGTAAGGACCGCTTTGGGCTCAGGAGGGGCTTCTGTTTTGTTTCATGTTGTTTTCTTCCCAACCAACCTGTGTTGTTGGGTCCTCGTTTTGAAGAGACGGTGGCCCGCGTCTCCTCCTCTCCTCCTCCTCCCCCTCCTCCTCCGCTCACCCATTTCGGCACACCCCTCACACGCTTCGTGGCCCCATAGGGAGCTCCGCCGAAGGTCCCAGTGGGTGTGCTCGCATGCGTCCCGCACACCCATTTCGGCACACCACTCACACTCTTCGTGGCCCCATAGGGAACTCCGCCGAAGGTCCCAGTGGGTGTGCCCGCACGCGTCCCGCACACCCATTTCGGCACACCCCTCACACGTTTCGTGGCCCCATAGGGAGCTCCACCGAAGGTCGCAGTGGGTGTGCCCGCATGCGTCACGCACACCCATTGCATCACACCCTTTACATATTTCGTGGCCCCATAGGGAGCCCCACCGAAGGTCGCAGTGGGTGTGCCCGCATGCGTCCCGCACACCCATTTCGGATCACCCCTCACACGTTTCGTGGCCCCATAGGGAGCTCCACCGAAGGTCCCAGTGGGTGTGCCCGCATGCGTCCTGCACACCCATTTCGGCACACCCCTCACACGTTTCGTGGCCTCATGGGGAGCTCCACCGAAGGTCCCAGTGGTGTGCCCGCATTCGTCCCGCACACCCATGTCGGCACACCCCTCACACGTTTCGTGGCCCCATAGGGAGCTCCACTGAAGGTCCCAATGGGTGTTCCCGCATGCGTCCCGCACACCCGTTTCGGCACACCCCTCACACGTTTCGTGGCCCCATGGGGAGCTCCACGAGTCCAGTGGGTGTGCCCCGCATGCGTCCCGCACACATCCATTTCGCGCGCCGCTCACACGTTTCGTGGCCCCATAGGGAGCTCCACCGAAGGTCCCGGTGGGTGTGCCCGCATGCGTCCCGCACACCCATTTCGGCACACCCCTCACACGTTTCGTGGCCCCATAGGGAGCTCCACCGAAGGTCCGAGTGGGTGTGCCCGCATGCGTCCCGCACACCCATTTTGGCACACCCTTCACACGCTTCGTGGCCCCATAGGGAGCTCCACCGAAGGTCCCAGTGGGTGTGCCCGCATGCGTCCCGCACACCCATGTCGGCACACCCCTCACACGTTTCGTGGCCCCATACGGAGCTCCACCGAAGGTCCGAGTGGGTGTGCCCGCATTCGTCCCGCACACCCATTTCGGCACACCCTTCACGCGTTTCGTGGCCCCATAGGGAGCTCCACCGAAGGTCCCCGTGGCGCAGTCCGCACGCGTCTCCACCACCCAGTACACCTCCGTCGGAGGCCGTCGGGGTTCCGCGCCTCCTTCGCCCGTCGTCGCTCTGCCCAGCGGCAAGAGCCTTGCCCGCTATCAGCCAGCCAGCTAGCTCTCTTTGCTGCGCGCAGCGGACGACCCGCGCGCGTCGCTGGGGCCCCTCCTGGGCGACCTGCGCGCGTCGCTGGGACTCCGCGCTGCGCTGCGCCCGCAGCTTTGGACTTTGAGTGCGCGGGCAAAGAGGGAGTAAAAGAAGGGGAGGAAGCGGGCGCGATCCTCGCGGTGGCGTCGCGGCGCGCGGGCGATGCCGTCGGGGAGTCCCGGGGAAGCTCCTTGCGGCGGCCACGCCCAGCGTCACGAGTACTCAGAGGCAGTCGTTCACAAACTATTAACACTCATATACAATTGCACCATGCATTGGCATACTCGCATTCATGCACGTAGACTCGCTTGCACGCAGATTCATTCACAGTCAGACGCACTCGCGCTCATATTCACCCGCGCTCAGTCTCCCTACGCACTCAGATCAATCGTTTTCGTTCGCGTTGTGTACCACGCCATTCATTTTGGTACACCACTAGCACGGTTCGTTGCCCCATAGGGATCACCACCGAAAAAGGGAATCACAATTGCGGTATTCACACCTGCATATGGTTGGGCCCTTCGTTTGGCTAATTTTTTGGGGGGGGTCTGATTTGTTCATGCTGTTTTTCCCAACCATCCTGTGGTCTTGGGTCCTCTTTTGATGAGACAGCGCCCCGCGTCCCTCCTTCCTCCTTCCTCCTCCCCCTCCTCCCTCCCTCCTCCCACCATCATCACCGTCATCATCATCATCGTCGTCATCATCACCGTCATCACCATCATCGTCGTAATCCCGCACACCCATGTCGGCACACCCCTCACACGGTTCGTGGCCCCATAGGAAGCTCCACCGAAGGTCCCAGTGGGTGTGCCCGCATGCGTCCCGCACACCCATGTCGGCACACCCCTCACACGTTTCGTGGCCCCACAGGGAGCTCCACCGAAGGCCCCAGTGGGTGTGCCCGCATGCGTCCCGCACACCCATTTCGGCACACCCCTCACACTTTTCGTGGCCCCATAGGGAGCTCCACCGAAGGCCCGAGTGGGTGTGCCCACATGCGTCCCGCACACCCATGTCGGCACACCCCTCACACGATTCGTGGCCCCATAGGGAGGTCCCGCACACCCATTTCGGCACACCCCTCACACGTTTCGTGGCCCCATACGGAGCTCCACCGAAGGTCCCAGTGGGTGTGCCCGCATGCGTCCCGCACACCATTTCGGCACACACCCCTCACCGCTTCGTGTCCCCATGCGGAGCTCCCACCGAGGGGCCGAGTGGGTTTGCCCGTGCATTCCGTCCCGCACAAACGCATCTCCAATTTTTCGGCAACCCCCCCTCACAAGGTGAACACACGGTTCGTGGCCCCATACGGAGCTCCACCGAAGGTCCCAGTGGGTGTGCCCGCATGCGTCCCGCACACCCATTTCGGCACACACCCCTCACACGCTTCGTGGCCCCATGCGGAGCTCCACCGAGGGTCCGAGTGGGTGTGCCCGCATGCGTCCCGCACACCCATTTCGGCACCCCCCTCACACGGTTCGTGGCCCCATAGGAAGCTCCACCGAAAGTCCCAGTGGGTGTGCCCGCATGCGTCCCGCACACCCATTTCGGCACACCCCTCACACGCTTCGAGGCCCCATAGGAAGCTCCACCATATGGCGCCGTGGGCACCAGGGCAAGCGCCGCCTCGGGCGCGGTGGGCTTGGCCGTGTGGTTTTGCCGTCTCGTCTACTTGGGCGAGGAGCGCAGGATTTGTTCGCGGGTTTTACCGTGGTGTCGCGCCGTCCCACTTGGGCACTCGAGAACACACGGCGCGGCAACGGACGAGCGACAGCAAAACAAGGGGTCGTCCGCGCCGAACATTTGCGCGTAAGCTCGCGGCGTAAGGTCGCCGCTTCAAGTTCGGAGGCGTGCCGCGCCAGAGGCCCTGGCCCGCCTTAGCCGCCGCGTAAGGTCCTACGTCATCTCGCGCAAATACCCGGTTTTTGTTCGTCGCCCATAACGTCCCCTGTTCCGCTCTGTCCTTTGGGAGGCGCGCGACGTTGGGTCGGTCGATGAGAGATCGCCACCGCAGCACCGCCGAGGGCTCGGAGGAGGAGACCAGGAGGAGGAGGAGGGGAGGAGATGACGAGGACGAGGAGAGAGAAGTTGGAGGAGGAGGAGGAGGAGGAGGAGGAGGAGGAGGAGGAGCCAGCAGCCGCCCGCCCTCCCTGGCGCCCTCTCCGTCCTCCCTGGGGGGGGGGGCCTCCCAGAGAGGCCCCTCGTCGACGCGGCAGGATCCGCCTCGACCATCCCTCGACCAGCACCTGCCGCGCGGCAGGTGCTGCCGCCACGCGGGCGGCCACCCGTGCCGCTTGCCGCGCGGCGCTCGCCGCGCGGAGGGTGCGGAAGGCGCAGCTCGAGGGATCCTCGATCTCCGCCCCTCCGCGCCTTCCGCGCGGCAGGTGCCGCCGCGGCGCGCGGAAGGCGCAGAAGGCGGAGATCGAGGGGAGCGGGTCGGGACGGACCCCGGGAGAGGGCCAGGGTCGGAGTTTTTGAGCTCGGGGAACAGGGTGGTGACCGCACCGTGCGGTGAGTCTGTGGGGGATTCGGGGCCACCGCACGGTTTCTGGGGCATCCGAAGTCCCAAAGCCGTACGTTGACGGACCGTGCGGTGAGGTCTTGGGGGATTTCGAGGTCACCGCACGGTCTGTCGCCGCACTGGTTCGGGACTCCAAATGAGCGGATCCCGGCAGGGCGGGAGAGCCGTCGCTGCCTCAACTGGCCCTCCGGGAGGTCTTCGCCGGCCTCTGGGGGTGCCGCCGGGTGGCAGTGAAGCGGCTGGCGGCGAGCGAGAAGATGGCCACCTTCTTCATTCGGGAGCTCGGCGTGATGTCGCGCACGAGGCACCCGAATCTGGTTCTCGAGGGAGAAACTGGAACTTGCATAACCAAGGGTACCCTCGAGGGCGCGAAGTTATTCGCGCTTCGCGCTTCGGCTCCGATTCCTCCTTGTCCTCCTCTTCCCCCCTGGGAGGCGGCGCGAGAGCGCGAAGTTATTCGCACTTCGCGCTTCGCGCAGCGCGAAGTGCGAAGTTGGGAACCCTTGCGTAACCCGGAGCTTCGGTGCTTGGCCAATGAAAAAGAGGAAGGAAGGCAGCGGGAGCTAAAATACACGTTCGGAGCTCCGAGCGGATTTCTTGGGTCCGCGTTGGGGCCCCCCTGGAGGCGCCCCTGGCGCGCTCCGCCCGCTATGGAGGGGAGTCCAAGCACAGGTCCAAGAAATCCGCGCGGAGTTCCGAAAGTTTTTCTGTTAATGCAGTTTGTTCTTCCTCCAGGTTCGCCTGTTCGGATTCTGCCACGGCGCGGACACCTTCGACCTGGTGTTGGAGCTGTGCATGGGTGGCACCCTGTTCAGCCTGCTCCACGTCTCCGATGTGGAGGTGGTGCCGCGCCAACAGTTCAAGGTGGCAGGGGACGTCGCCAAGGGCATGGCGTACCTGCATGGGCTGGCGATCGGAGGGAAAAATAGCGACACCACCACAAGGAATCCAAACCCGAATTACTCGACGCGGAGATCCCCAGATGTGCATCCCTTTTCTAGCGCCGTCTGCTTAAGCGCGTCTGGGTGTGAGCGAGGCTGAGTACGAGTGGCAGAGCACGAGCAAGTCTGAATGTGACTGAATGTGTATGAGCGGATAAGTAGTAATTTGGACCGCTGCCCAGGGACTGGCTTGTCATCCTGAGTCGTTGTTTGACGATCCTAGGGTTTGGTGAGCGCCTCAGGAGGCCGACAGTATTCAAAGCTCGTCGTCGTGTTTTTTTCACGGTGGGGAGCGGGCAGCTTCTTTTTCAAGAAGGTGCAGAAGCTTTTTTTCCCAACCATCCTGTGGTGTTGGGTCCTCGTTTTGAAGAGACGGTGCCCCGCGTCTCCTTCCTCCTTCCTCCTCCTCCTCCTCCTCCCTCCTCCCCCTCTTCCCTGCGTTTCACCCACCCAGTACAGCGTTTCGTAGCCCCATAGGAGCTCCGCCGAAGGCCCCATGGCTGCCGTCCGCATGCGTCCCGCACACCCATTTCGGCACACCCCTCACACGTTTCGTGGCCCCACAGGGAGCTCCACCGAAGGCCCCAGTGGCTGCCGTCCGCATGCGTCCCGCACACCCATTTCGGCACACCCCTCACACGTTTCGTGGCCCCACAGGGAGCTCCACCGAAGGCCCCAGTGCTGCCGTCCGCATGCGTCCCGCACACCCATTTCGGCACACCCCTCACACGTTTCGTGGCCCCATAGGGAGCTCCACCGAAGGCCCCATGGCTGCCGTCCGCATGCGTCCCGCACACCCATTTCGGCACACCCCTCACACGTTTCGTGGCCCCACAGGGAGCTCCACCGAAGGCCCCAGTGCTGCCGTCCGCATGCGTCCCGCACACCCATTTCGGCACACCCCTCACACGTTTCGTGGCCCCATAGGGAGCTCCACCGAAGGCCCCATGGCTGCCGTCCGCATGCGTCCCGCACACCCATTTCGGCACACCCCTCACACGTCGTGCCCCATAGGGAGCTCCACCGAAGGCCCCAGTGCTGCCGTCCGCATGCGTCCCGCACACCCATTTCGGCACACCCCTCACACGTTTCGTGGCCCCATAGGGAGCTCCACCGAAGGCCCCATGGCTGCCGTCCGCATGCGTCCCGCACACCCATTTCGGCACACCCCTCACACGTTTCGTGGCCCCACAGGGAGCTCCACCGAAGGCCCCAGTGCTGCCGTCCGCATGCGTCCCGCACACCCATTTCGGCACACCCCTCACACGTTTCGTGGCCCCATAGGGAGCTCCACCGAAGGCCCCATGGCTGCCGTCCGCATGCGTCCCGCACACCCATTTCGGCACACCCCTCACACGTTTCGTGGCCCCACAGGGAGCTCCACCGAAGGCCCCATGGCTGCCGTCCGCATGCGTCCCGCACACCCATTTCGGCACACCCCTCACACGTTTCGTGGCCCCACAGGGAGCTCCACCGAAGGCCCCATGTGCTGCCGTCCGCATGCGTCCCGCACACCCATTTCGGCACACCCCTCACACGTTTCGTGGCCCCACAGGGAGCTCCACCGAAGGCCCCATGGCTGCCGTCCGCATGCGTCCCGCACACCCATTTCGGCACACCCCTCACACGTTTCGTGGCCCCATAGGGAGCTCCACCGAAGGCCCCAGTGGCTGCCGTCCGCATGCGTCCCGCACACCCATTTCGGCACACCCCTCACACGTTTCGTGGCCCCACAGGGAGCTCCACCGAAGGCCCCAGTGCTGCCGTCCGCATGCGTCCCGCACACCCATTTCGGCACACCCCTCACACGTTTCGT